GAAAAAAAGGGGGAGAGAAGGAGATAGATTTTGGTGATTCATGTAGCGACACCTGATTTAGTTTGTAACTTTATAAAGTGAAGTAACAATTAGGAGAAGTACCGTTAAATTTTGAGAGAATCCGCTTGTTGCTTCACAAGCTAAATCGTTGTTGTCGTCTAAAAAAGATCCTTCTTAAAGTCTGTCTAAAATCAGATAAAATAGGACTTTTCATCGCAATTTCATCGCAATTCACAGGGCAGAAAAATTAAAACTCTACTCTCTCTTGTTTCAGAAACTTAGACTTAATTCTACTAGATTTTTCCTACTAGAATTTAGAAGGGGAACTGAATCAGCCATCATTAAAAAGATGGCAGTTTGACAGCATCAATTGGGATAAATTGCAAAAATGCAATAAAATTATTGCAGTTGAATAGTGAAAAAATCTGGAGATAAATTACAATTTTTCTAACCGGAGGCTGCCAGAAATTGAAAAATGTTCAAAATGTGAAAAGTTGCAACTTTGAGTGGAGCTCCAGATAGGATTTACAAAGATGAAACAGAAAATGGAGAGACACTGTGCAAAATTATGATTTTACTGCGATAACTTTAAAGCAATCTTTCACTATAAAATGTTACTTGGCAGGACACCTCATAAAAAAAAACCTTACAATAAAGTGCATCCTCAACTGTTTGAAGAAAGAAAAACTGATAAAGCAAGCGAGGTGATGATACAGTGATTGAAGTTTTACAGCTGTTCTGAGGGAAATTTGGGGTGGAAAACAATGGGAAAAATATAAACTAAGAAAAGAAAACAAATAATAGCGATACGTTAAGTAAAATGATGGAGAAGGATGATCTGATGAAAATCAAGTGGCGCGGTAGAAAGTAGCCTCACTCAACAGTCGAAAACAAAGAGACAGGTGGTCAGAAGGGATGAAACTCATCCCTGTTATCATAATTTCCGGATGAAACGGGTCGGAGGCAGAGGAATAAATAAAAATTGAAAAATCTTGAATTCCATCGGAGAATGTTGCAATATTGAAAAAATACTTTAAACTAGGTTGTATTCTTTTAGATTTGATTGGAGAATGGTGTCTTTAACCGCGGCAAATACAAACCTAATGTTTTCAGTATCTGAAACAAAGAGACACAGATTAGCAAAACACTCTTCTCAAGAAAATTAATTACAATATCAATTCGCGTCCTGCTAATCAAGAGGGGCCTGCGGTTGAAGTTGCCTTAAAAAGACTTACATTTCGGCAGCTGAGCAAAAAAATTGACACCTTTCACTTATCAGTGACGACACTGTAGATCAGGGCCTAAGTTCTTGTATTTATGACCTTTTACCAGTATATATCAGGCTCCTATTTTGTGATTTCTTTTCAAGTAAAAATAACTAATTATTAGTAATTATTATAAGTCATTAAAATTTTTTTAAAAATGGTAAAAATCATAGCAGCTTCCAAGAAATGACTTTGCTGGTTTTTTACATCGAAGTATTAATAATATACATAGCAATTAGGCGAATTGATATTTGTGTTCAGAATTTAGCTGTGGGTATTCTGCCTTAAGATTATCAACCAATGACTAAAGTTAAATCCCAAAGTTGCAAATTTTCTTTCTGAAAAAATAACTTTACAATATTGATGGGAAATCCTTGCAGATTTAATCGCAAAACATCCCTTTTTTGGCAAAATAATTATGGGGAAGTTTAAATTATTGAAAATTGTCAATGTCAATGCCAACGTTTGCAACCTTGGGATTTAAATAAAAAATCAGTTCGAGGGTTAGGAGACCACTTTATCAAAAATTTTCAGGAAGTAGGGAAATTTCTTTACCAAGTTCTTACGATATGACACACACAAACGAAGAGCAATACATAAATTGAACAATTGATCAATATTTTTTCAAAGAGCCCAAGCGCCAAAATCCTAATTTCAAGAAAAACAGAAAAAAGTGTGCCATGCGGCATGTCTTCAATCTTTTGAGCTCAGTCTCAACAGGCATTCTCACATGCATACATTTCTTCCGCTCAAAAGATTGAGCGCATGCTGAAGGACACAGGGCACTTGGGCTTTTAAGAGGGACATCGGTTCAATTTACTTTTTTAACACCAGAACTTTTAATTCAATTGTACTGTTTCATTTAATCATAATTTATCACTGTATTAATGTCATTTTCAACACGTTTTTCAAACTATCAAAAACATATTTGTATGGAAGAAATCAACCATGAGGCTCCTCATTGAGTGAAATCTGTAAGATAACACATTTTTCGGTCCACCGTCAAGATCTAGGAGAGGTTGGATAATTACATTGAAATTCTTGCATGCGGCAGGAATTTTCAGGTTAATTGGACTACATTTTGAGATTAGGAACTACAATATCTAGCTCGGTTTAGAAACAACGTATGTACTATTTGTTTTCCTATGCACATACTTGTTTTTACGGATCAGCCAGAAATTGTAGTTCATTATTTCAAAATGAGGTCCACTTGGAGCTATGAGTGCAAAAAGGGCACTTCTCAGTTGCAGAGAAGTGGAATCAAAATAATGCAAAAGTTTTAAGAAAGCCATGCAAAGAAATAAAAGCCGAGAGACAGACTTAGAAACCTAACCTTTACTCTAGGCCTAACAGTCATACTACCGTACATAATAATACGTAGAGTCCCTTTATACCCAGAGTTAAGACAACTCACTTTTGGTTGGGCTGAAAGTGGCCTAAAAAAAAATCCAATTCTGATTGGTTCTCGCTCATGGAGGCCGAAACGAGTGCACCAAGATGTCGGTACCTCGAATGTGAACAAGAATAATGAAAATATTACCTAATTGTGGTTTATCAAGAGTAAATTGTTATTTCCATCGGTCCAAAATGAAAATAGATTAAGAAATTATTCACAAACCAATCTCATTTACTTTTTAATTGATCAATTTGTTGATGTTGTTTTTGTGTGACAGACATCGCAGGATTCCTGATCCTTATCCCTCAATATCGTTCGTTTGGATGCACTCGTTTCGGCCTCCATGGCCAGCCAAGGCCGGCTGCGAGTCAGCTGATAATCGAGTTGTCTTAACTCTGGGTATAAAGGGACTCTAATAATACGGATAGATTCACCCACAATCAGCCAAGCTGCATTTCATGCTGCCTAACTTCGTTTCAAATTTTATTTTTAATAATATGAACAGGGTTGCCAGCCAAATTATTTTTTTCCATTCCCTGACTTTTCCCTGACTTTTAAGTATGGATCTGACACAGTATGTTAAAGTGAAAATGAGAAAAACGCGAGCCCGAGACCGCCCGCGCCTAATTCCACGAAAAATCAGAAAAATCCCTGACCAACACCGAAATTCCCTGACTTTTCCCGGTTGATTTTTTTTCCCTGACTTTTCCCGGTTTTCCAGGTCGCTGGCAACCCTGTATGAAACCAAACAACAAAACACCTAGAAAATCTCTGAGAATTTCTCTTGGATTAAACAAACCCGAAGAGGAAATAGGAGTCTGCAATGAATAGAGAAAGTGCGTGACCACCACTTTTAGCGTTTTTTTTCAGCCGATCAGACACCAGACGACCACTTTTGCATTTCTCATGGAAAATCGAAATAATAGATTTTTTACGCATTCAGTCCATTTTTCTGCAAAAATATGTTTGTGACTGACTATTCAAGGATTTGGCATTTCTATTGAAGTGTGATAATACATTCCACTTCCTCAAAAAAAAAAAAAAAAAAAAAAAAAAAACACCAAAGATCTCAATTTTTAAAATTTCAGTTTTCAGCAGCTGGTGTTTTTGACTGTCCCATCACCTCTCTCGTCCAAAGCATTGACCGGCATGGAAGGAAACTGAAATTTCAAAAATCAAGATCTTTGGTGTTTTTTTAGAGAAAATGGAATGTATTACACATCAATTGAAACACCAAATTCTTGAGAAGTCAGTCGTAAACATATTTTTAGGCTTGTGTACAAATTGCTTTCCTCCTATTATTTTAATACAATAGTGGGACTGATAAACGCAATTCTTTCAAATTTTGAAAATATTTTCTTAATAAAATGGGCTAAATTCATTGCATTCAAAAAGTTATTTTCCGGTATCCGGAGTATCTGCGGTAAAAGTAAAACACTAAAGGAAACTTTACGATATCAAGTGAGATTGTTGAAGACGTTTCATTGAGACAGGGAGTCTACCGATTATGCAGAGAAAAATTTGCCTGACTTTGCCAGGTTTTCACTGACTAAGATGATAGTTGACTCCTAACATCAACAATTTACAAGACCAGAGCTAGAAATGAGAATTTTTGGCATTAATTTTATTTCACTGCAAATTTCAGAAACACATAAACCTAGTATTCTTCAGGATTTAGTCATTCAAATGACAAATATTGCTATTCCTCATTTGAGCGTAGTTCTCTGTTCCTGATTTGGAGTGTAACACAAAGCATTGAGGCCCAAACTCGACTGAGACTAAGTTTGATTCGTTGCTCCTCTGATGTAAGGGCGTATCTTTAGTATCTCTTGGGCGTATCGTGAGTCTTGTTGTACATGGAACTCCATGCTTTTTTAGGGCTCATGCGAAAATAGAGATACGCCCTTACACCAAAGGAGCGACGAATTGTGTAGACAGCGCTGGTGTTATTTCAGATTTCAAGTTTCAAGATTTACCACATTTCCAACCTTTTTAAAATAGAATTCACCGACTTTTCCATGAAAATGCCTGGTCTTTCAGACCTGTAGACACCCTCTGGAAGTTGAGGAAAAATGATTGGTTGTCGAAAGTAGAGACTAGAATTTATAATTGATGTTGCGTCCTGCGGAGAAGTGGAGTTTAGGTAGGGCTGGTTTCTGCCTTTTGAACTCAACCCAAATTAAACTAACATAATCTTTGATCATTGTCCTGTGTTCATGAGAAAGGAAGACACAGAGAGAGGGACAAAAAAAAAAACCTTGCATTTCCCAAGTTCCGGATATTAATTTAACCGGTATAAAAATATGTGAAAGGCACAAAGAAGAGAAACTAAACGGGAAGAGTTTGTAAGACCAATAGATTTATTAGTTAATGCACAGATTCACATTCAGCAGCAAAAACTCAAACGCTAAAAAAAAAAGAAAAAAAATTGGCTGTTGGAGTTAGTTTCTTACAGCTATTTAAACGATGAAAACATGCATTAAAACATAAACGAATATGTATATAAAAAATAGTACATACAAACAAAAATGATGCAAAAAACGATCAACATGCATAACACCGAAGAGGAAAGCGAGTTAACATCAAAGAAGAATTTGAAGAATGTCCAATTAAGATTTACAAAGATTTCCTACCCAATAAAAAAAAAAACGAACATCGTTAAAGGGAACAAATGCTGAGAATCAAGTTTCACACGCTAAATATTTTTGGAGGACTTTCAATTTTTGGCAAGAGAAAATCTGATCCTACATCACCTCCAGACTGTCCTTGACTCAATTTTAATGAACATGTTTTAAAGTCTCGTTTCACTGAACCCTGTCCCCTTCAACCGGGAAAAGTTATCAGCAATCTTAAACAAAAATGACGAAATTTCAGGCACATGCATACTGACATGAGAAAACAAGCTAAAAAATACAGCTATTGTGCATTGAAAACATCGTCAGCAGGTATTCAACTACCCGTTAAATGCCACATAGCAAGGGAAGTTTTGTCCAGTTGTATTTACGTAAAGGGATGCATTTCAATGTTGTAGATTTCCCTTTCATATTTTAATCTTTTGAAAGGACAACGAACCAGTTTCACTGCTGGAAAGTTTCTGAAACTTCCTGTCAAATTGTGAGAGAAATTTTTCAAAATGTCATAGGAATATTATAGTGAATAGTTTTTGATGTTCTATCAAAAAATGTTAATTTTAACGAAAATCGATTGTGTTAATTGAGTTACTGTACATATATTTAGTATTTTTTAAAGTGAGGAAGAAGTTGCATGACTTTGAAAACACGGTAATCACATTGGATACTTCTGCTGCATACGATCTATAAAATCATTATTGGAACCAGAAGTAAAAATAAATTGAGTAAATATGAATGGAAATTTTAACACAATTTAATTGACGTTGAATGGCAATTATATCATATTAAAAGGCAACTTCATCCCTCAGAAACACTTGGAATTGTAACGCAAAAATCTTTCACATATTCATAATTCTGGCAATTTTTTCATGGTAGTGAAGTTATGATAAAACCACAACAATATTTCAATGACCTCCAACTTTTTTTTGTTATAAAATGCTGCCTGGGAACGGTAAAAAGTACCAAAGTTGAGCAGTGCCACTCACAAAAAAATAGTCAATTTGATGTCATGGAAATTCCTTGGACACATTGCAAGGTTACATCGAGAGGTAGTAAAAAAATAGTACCCATAGTTACAAATTGAACCATGTACAATTGTGAACGCATACAAAACAGACTTAAGCTAGATTGAACTCCTTTAGCGCATTTTGCATGATGGTATCCTTGACAGCACAAAACACAAGTTTTATGTTTTCAGTATCTGTTAGTGGAAAGCAAAGTAAATGGAGCATACATGCACTTACAAATAAAACACAAAATTTGAAATGAGAAAACAGGGTACAAATAAACAACCAATGAAATAATTGAGATCCGTTAAAACAATAACAAAAAAAAAACATAAGTGGAATTCCATGCAAGATGTTTCCGCAGCATGCAAGAACAGACAAGAAAAATGAATATTAGACATTAAAGCTATGAAAGCACTGAATTTAAAACAAAAACTTAGCATATTGAACGTGTTATTCTTTGGTAGATGGATTCTGTTTAATATTTCTGCAACTTGTAAAAATTATATACTTTTTTTTTGGAAAGAAGTTCTTCAGGCCTGAGCACAGGGGCTATATTTCATAGTTAACTGTAACCTAAAATTTGCAGGGATTTTTTCAACTTATTATGCGAAACATATCAAAAGCCAATAAGGGGAAACAGGTACCGCTACCCAATAGATGAAACATTCAAAGACAGTTGAAGTGGATTTGAGCAATAACAAAATGTAAGTCTCAGGATCAATTATTAAAGGATTTTATACCCTAAATCATCTTTCAAAGTTTTAAAATTAAGACAAAAGTACTTTTATTGATTACACATCGAATTGAATACATCAAAAGCACTCAAGAATTGGTATTAGAGCTTTTGAAATTATTTATAGGTATTGATGGTTGATTTTTGGTAAGATGTCTTTAATAATTGATTTAACGACTGATATTTTGATCATTCAAAAATACTCTGATTGGCCAAAATCTATGATACATTGAAATTTGAACAGCTAAAAATTGAGGCGCTACCTCAACGCCTATTGTTTAAAGGAATTTACAGATCATTTAAAGCGAAAAAGAGATAGGTTCTTTGGACAGAGAGAGATAAAATAAAAAAATCTCAGGAAGAAAAGGTTCAGATTACATTAACCTATGACATGCAAAGCAAACCCGTAGATGATATGAAGCGTAGATGCAGGCGAATGAAGCTTGAGGAAAATGAAATACCTGTGGCGCACGTAAAATGCGAATAAATTATTTTCTCACTATCTGGATTCAAATCGACGAACATTCGTAAAATAAATTCTCTAGCTGCTATAGCATCTCGTTGAGGACCTGCAGTGTACACAAACGACTACTTTTAATATCAAAAATTATACAAAGGCAGGAATGATACCAAAGATAGGCTTGATAGGAAAACTGGAGATACATTTGAGGTTGTCAACAAATTACCTTGGAAGAGTAGCTAGCGTTGACTAATAAAAAAATAAAATCAGATGGGTGTTTTAACTTGACTCAGAAATGAGCCACAAAATAGGATGGGAAAAAGCAACTCAGCATCCTAGTGCGGGTATATATGGGAGCTTAAAGTCCGCAACTCTGAACTTGTTTTATAAGAGTTCGTCACCTTCCGGCCAAAGTATCACAAGTGCGACGCAACATTTCAAGATTTCCGCCGCCATTTTATTTTTTTACAGAGATATTGTTGGTTGAATCTGTTTGAAAATTTCACTGAATTTTACAGGCAGCACAAAGAAAATTCAGTGAAATTTAAGGACAGCTTTGTTAAACAATATCTCTGTAAAACAATAAAAAGGCAGCAGAAATGTTGAAATGTTGCATGGCACTTGTGATACTTTGGCCCAAAGGTGACGTAGAGCATGAAGTTTTACAGAGAATTGGGATCACCCAGAAATCCAGGCGTTACCAATTTTTGAAACACAGCATGTCAGGGTCTTTCTTTTTGGGGAGCGAAGTCTCCATTTTCACTTGTTGTGATAGTGGGGACGATTTTAATCATTCAATGGACTCTCGGAATTCCTTCTTTTCAGGCAAGAGCTATGCTTCCAAGAATGGGCTTACTTTTATAGATACTACGAGATGAATTGGGCACTGTTTAGATAATTGTTCAACCATACAGGGTGATCAAAAAGATGCTCACTACACCTGTAACCTCATAGGATTCTTGCCCTTTATCAGGGTGATTCCCTTCAACTTTTTGGGGCGCCCGCGCCCCGTGCTCCGTAAGTTAATTTTTTCAACCTGGGAATATTCACCAAATTTCAAGTCTCTATTTTAATTTGTCAAAAAATTACAGGTTTGACACCTGGTGCTAGCAGTGTAGGACTTTTAAATCACCCTGAAAAACACTAGGCAGATTCAAAATGACATGGGAATTAAGGTGCATTAGACTTCAGATCAGAATGGCGCAAAATGGTGCAATTAAGAGGACTGTAGAATGGCGTAAATACAAGGACCCTAAAAAGGAGGTAGCAATTACTGTCTGCGATAGTGCAGGATTAGCCTAACCTAAGATAGCAATGATCGACCATGGGTGCTTGACAATTCTACACTTTTTATAGAACGGTATGACCTGTGGCAGCTGTAAAATGAGAATAACACATCCTATCAGGATCTGGGTTTTGAGAGAGGTATATTTTCAGAATGAACTCCCGGGCGGCAATGTGATCTTGTTTTGGCCCTAAAATGATTCAATTAAAAAAATGCGGAATTCACTCTAACAATTAAAACATCATAGACTTTTAAGTACGGAACTTCACAACAGTAGAAAGAATTGAAAAGTTCTGTGTAATGACTCAATTAAAAATCATCAGTAGTTTGTACCGAAAAAAAATATTCAGACCTCTGCTGATGTGAGGTTTCGGATCAGAGGCTCAAGTCGAAAAGTGCATATCTCAGATTAGGACATTATGAGTCTCTGCTAATGTTTGATTTTTTAGTTTCCACTGAAATTGTCGGTGAATTTTCATGACTCATTTTACAGAAATCACACTAAATTGCAACGAAATATTTGGATTAGTGTTCCTTTCAGGCGATAAAACATATTCGGATATTTTCAAACGTAGCAAGTGAAAAACGCATTTCGTGCGTTTAGCCATCAAATGCAAATACAAAGTATAGACTGTTAAAATTATCCTTCTTCATGAATTTAACCTAACAAATTGAACTGAAATCGAATGGATTCCTTTGAAAACACATATATTCAATCTTAAATAGCATTTAGGTATTAAACAAATATGACAGTCCAAAGAAAAAGAGCCCTTCGATAATGGTGCGAAAACAGTTGAAAAATATGGCTGAAGTGCAAAACCATGTACCTCCATTGCCATGTTTCAAAATTTCCGCTCCTGTTTTATGTTATCACCGAGAAAGAGGCGAACTTTACAACTTGAAATCCTCACAGAATATTCTGCTGACAAAAAAGGAAATTCAAGCAAGTTTGCAAAAAATTCTGTTGACTAGTTTTCTACAGAAAAAATTAGGTATGAAAGGAAGTCTGCAACGTAGTGAACATGGTTTCACACTTAGGCCATCGAAATACTGGTTTATTACTGGAAAATATAGTTCCAGTTGAGGGCAGTTCAGTTTATAGAGGGCATAAAGATACATTAAAGTCCAGCAATTCCATGCTCATCTAAACATGCTAAACATGGCAGATCAGAATTTTAAACAGCGTTTTGTAGAAACTATTTTCTGTGAAATACAAACTTGATACTCTCATAACTCTCATCTTTCTCCACACTTAGGAGCATTTTTTGTCCAAAAATGTGGACAGAGCACTCCTCTATGCTGTGAAATCAATAACTTGTCCTCAGTTTTTTGCAGGGGTCGAGAGGGAATTGAAATTAATTTGATCGCCCTCCGAGTTCGCGAACGACCAAGCGCCGCTTTTCGATCGCGATACTCGATCAAGAGGCCAGAGCAGGTAAAAGAATTTCGGATCCCGAATCCCGAACTCAGAGGCGAATGGGGCGATTATTGTTCTCGTTCGAAGAACGAGAGGCAGTAGCGCGGGCAAACTGTTCAGTTCCCGAGATGGGNCCCCTGGTTTTTTGTGAGCTGAATCATTTTCTACACTAATTTGGGTCAATTGAATGTGTGAAATGGTTCATTTTGGCAATGTTTAGTCTCCAAAACGGCAGGTTAAAAAATTTGACGGCCACTTCAAAAAACAGTTTTTTAAAGTGCGAACTTAAAAGGGATAAAATTTTTGGATTCCTCTGAGAAGCTGTATCAATACATGTAATGTGAGTCGAGTTTCTCAGCACCGACACATATTTTCCTCTGGACGGTAACGAACATTACCTTCAAGAATGATGGGGCTCAGTTTAAAAACAGTTGCGCCCTTGCTTTAGAGGAGTGACAAAATGTTAGCAGTTTCATTAAAGCAAGAGCAATTGCATGACCAAGAAAAGAAAATCAAGAATCTAGTAGGAGAGAGAGAATATGAAAAAAAGTCTTACCTTCATATTCCGGGAAATAATCAACAAGATGTGAATATAAAATTTTTTCTTCTAATAAATCTTTTTTGTTTAGGAAGAGAATTACTGACGAATGTTGGAACCAAGGATATGTGATGATAGTTTTGAATAGAGCTTTAGATTCTTCCATTCGATTCTGAAAATAGAAATAAGAAGAAAATCAGACACAAAACAAACGCTTCCAATGAAAAAAAAGGAAAAAGCTCTATTTTGATAAGCTCAGTGGCAAAGAACGGTGTGTATTGAGCTACTATGGGTTTTTCCCATTTTCTTTTATTCCTGAGGGGCAAAAAAACCCTTTTTAAAAAACGTCAAAAATGGGATTAGTTTGAAACAATTTAATGTATTCAGCGCGCTGTAATGACGTAGTGAACGAAGTGCTTTAATGATGGGAGAAACTGTGACAACTCAAACTCAGCTTCACCTTTGCCTTGCTTCATCGACTCAACTGTCAGCTTTTAATTAGTCCCATCTGGACACGCTTTTTCTCCCCTCGGATGTGCTCTTCCGAACTTTATAATGATCTTTGTTCCAACGTTCGTGGAAATCAAGAGACAACGAAAATTCAACACGAGAGAAAAAATTTGTGTTTTTCTTATAAATAATCAGGATGTTCTGTGCTGGATTAAAGTGCAAAAAGTTTTCCTGAGTGGAAACAGTTGCTTATCATTAGCTTTTCATATTGATGATTGGGGAAAATTACTGCCTGACTAACAATTTGTTGCGCTTTTTGAGAGCGCTAGCAAGCGCATTCAGTCTATGTCAACATCCTACACGAATTGAATTACAACACAGTCATGGATACACGGCCAAGCGACACACCAAAAGGCAATCCTCACACCATCCAATTGCTCACGCCAATTGCTGCTGAAAAAATACCAGGACCTGCACCTGCCTGGGCTGAACACACAACCTCCTTAGGATCTGTTTCAAATTATTTTTATAACTCAAATTCTGATTTTTGATTTGTCCTGGCTTTGATTTTGCTACAGAATAGTGTGATCCCAGCACTTTTCGACCATCCTGTTACTTGCCGAATTTTAAGTGTTTTTATCTATTTACGTATAGCTGGGGATAAAGGGATGAAAACCATTAAGGTATATTTGTATCAGTAGAATGAAAACACACCAACATGGGTTTTTTTACGATTTTCACTTCGCCACGATTCAGTGTTTCATACAGGTAGACACACCTACACGCAAAAGAAAAGTTCAATATTTTATGATCAGAAAATCGAAAAACAGCAGTGTGAAAAGGGCTAAAAAGTCAGTACTTTACAGTGCTTTCCCAAAACATATAGCGCCTCCTCAACAGAAAAATTCGGTGCTTTTTCAGCATCTTCATGCCATGAAATTTGAAATTTCCACCATCTACAGGCAAAAACTGCACTAGTAATCAATTCGCAAGAAGTTGCATACTTTCCAGGCTGTCTTACGGAACAATCGTGGCAGGCGAAGAATTCTGGACCTATTTATGGTCTTTCTACACTTTAACAGTGCTTCGAGCCACCGTTATTAAATTAGTACTACTTCCGGACTTTCCGACCAATACACACCCTGAGACAGTGAGTACAAAAACATAAGCCTACTGTGCCTTTTCTTGCGTCTCCTGAACATTATCAATTATCCGTGTTGGTAATTGCATTCTCACCAATTCATTTATCATCTGGAGTGAAAATAGAAGGATATACAAACCTCATTGTCAGATTCGAATAGAATTTGATCATACTCTGATAGGGCCACAAGAAAGATGATTGACGTCACGTTTTCGAAACAGTGAATCCATTTTCGTCTTTCAGACCTCTGTCCTCCTACATCTACCATTCTGGAAGTACAAAATAAAGGAATTAACATCGCAAAAATGAAACGCTATAATGATTCAGTAAGAGACCTGGATGTATTTACATTGCCCAGTGATTTTGCATTAATGTGGAATCAATTCCTTACTACCTGAACACTCCTTCTCACTTCTTATTTTACTTGGGGTTAGTTTAAAATCTTGTTTGCCTTAATAACCTTGACTACTTTCATGGTAAAAGAATGCACACACTATAATTTGAGAACTTTTATCAGTTGATTACTTAAGACTCTTTCTCTATAGATCTAAGAAATCTCCTAGAAATCTGAGTTCATTTTTGTGCTAACACGGGATACAAAGACAAACAATATTCAGGTAGGCAATTTCGAACCCTTAAGATGACCAACTGGAATTTCAAAGAGCTTTTTGTTAACGCTATGTAGTTTTGTTTGAGCTAATTTCAAATCCTCGCTAATTCAAGAACAAATTTTCCAACAATTTCCCAAAAGATTTGCTCAACATTCTTAAATGCAGTGGTGTCAAAATCATATTTTTTAATTTTTCCAAGTTACGGTACCCTCTTTTATAGACTATCCACTGTAAGTCTACATGCGCATGAAAAAAACAGAGAAAGATATTTCAAAAAAAATTTTCAGAAGTACATTTGAAGCATTGAAAAAAAGGAAAAGCAAGAAAAAACTATCAAATACTTTCATAAAAATTTGAGCTACAAAGATACATTTGAAGATGGAAAAAGAAAAAGGAGAAACAAGATAGGAGAAAAATGGTATGGGCATATTGCCTGCAGCGATGCACCGTGGGAAAAAAGTCCCTGAAATGTGATGTTGCAGTTGGACCATCTCTTGCCAACACATTGATAGAGCTAAGGTACACAAGCTTTGCAAAAAAGCTTGTGACTTCAGGTTGGACGGCCAATTGGGGCAAATCGGTATTATGTCCATGCCTATTTTTTTCCACCATGAGAAAGAAAGAAAAAAAGGATATACGTTTGTCATGCAAGAATCAATTCCATAATTTTAAAATTCGTAAAGGTAGGATTTTCAAATTTTCTTCATGCTTAAAAGCAGATGTTAGCTCGAGTGGACTTGAACATTTGACCTAATTGTACGCATATTTGGTCATTTTGATGGATTTAGAAACACCTGCTGAGATGGGCAATTCTACAAAAACTGTCAAATTTGACCTCCAAAAAACTAAAAATTCAACTTGATTATTTTGGATGGAGGGTTTGTTTTCCCAGACAGTATCAGGCTTAAAAATTTAATATCAGTACCTTCTTTTATCAGGCATTTTTGCTCCCTTCTTTTTGCACACAAAATATCCTTTGCGGTATGACCAGCATGACGAATTTAAACAAAAACGCCGGGTACTTGAATATTTCGGGTCGAAACCGAATTTTTTTAAAATCAAATACATTATTTATTCAACTACACGCATTTTTGATGAAATCAGTGCAAAGATTGGAACAGTTTCTTAGACCAAAAAGAGTAATGAGGCTGTAAACATTGCAACCTGACAATCATGATAGTGACAGTCGTGACGTTTTAAGCAGTAAAAGCTGAAAATGAAGCTTAATACATCGACTTACACAATTTTAACTGTCAGAATTTGTTCAGAACACTTAGTTTTCTGTACAGTAGGTGAAATGTAAGATTTTTTTTACAAATTCTATATATGAAACGTTCATGAATTGCCCAGGTGAAAATTTTGCTTCATACTAGGTGATTAAAATAAAATGGCACCCCACTTCAAACTTGCAACTATCACACTAACTAAAAAGATTTAAAAATGGATTTTAAGAACTGGAGATAATTTGGATGTAAAAAGCCAAAGGAAAGCAAGAAAATACATCATATGAGCGTTACATTCTGAGTAAATGAGGAGAAAATAAAAACAAATTTAATCACCAACAGAAACAGGTAACCCAAAAAACACTTTTACGGGTTTTAAACCAATTATTCAGTTTAAAAACAACCATACTCCAAGAGGCAAAGGTGCAAAAAATAAAAATAAAAAAAATAAAGGAACACCGATTGCTTAAAATGATTTAGTTGCAGCTGCTGTTGCTTTCACGGAGGGATTGATGCCAGCCTGGACATAACTCGCTACTAAGGGCTGCAAATGATATAGTTTGACTGACCTAAGCTATTCCACAAAATTAATTCTACGAAACTCTTGATGCAAACATACTTCCTGCGTCTAGATACACTTTCAAATTCAAGGTTTGATCAAAAAATTTTCCACAGTTAAATCAAAATTACGGACTTTCTCGCGTTTTCTTCAACTTCTCAAGGACTTGTCAATCTAGAAAAACCTTTTTAATTTTTGTGAAGAATTAAAATTTTACCTTTGACAGGGGTAATGATCCTAATCTTGGTTCATTTACTTTACAACTACTTAGAGTTTCTCAGGGTTGCCACAGAATTTAGAAAATAAATTCCCTGACATTTTCCTGATTTCCCTGACACATTTTGGTGAGATTCCCTGACAATTGAAGATGTGTGTGGTTAAGAGGGCATGATTGAAAATAGTTTCCAGGCAAATTTGTTGATCGAAACTTCAAACTCCTTTCAGAAAGCAAATGAAAGTGATTTAACAAATTTTCCTCGACATTTTCGTCATTTTGCCTGATATTTCCTCGGTTTTCCCTGACTTTTCAAAATTCCCCGACATTTCCCGGTTTTCCCTGACTGTGGCAACTCTGGTTTCTCAATTTTACAAGTGCTAACAAGACAACTAGACAGGAGGTGTGAGGACAGGACAAATTGGACTACACTTCGATCAAATCAAATCTAGTAGACGAAGAGAGTACCTAAATATAATTGAGTCCAGATCGAAAGGATACTCGATGATACCAGTGGTTGGAGCACGAGCTCTCAAAATATCCTGTTCCGTGGGCAGATAATCTGGTGATTCTATCCTTTCGAGATCGCCCAGATAGCTAACAACATGCACAAACAGCTAAACAACATTAACACGCAAACATATGAAAGCCAACATGCAAAGAAACAGGTCACAACATGATATCAGTCAAACAAATTTGAAATATCAAGAGTTCTGAACCAGGAGTGCAGAGAATCGCAAAAGTAATGTTGAGGGGGGGTGTAAATTTGGAAGAATTCCCCATTCCATGCAAGATGGCTTGCAAAAACCGATCAATCAATTCCCTGTCTCTTCTCAAGAGTTTCCTGCATTTTTTCTGATCATTAAAAATGGACCAGAGAACAACAAAAAAAAAACATTCATCTACACAGGGGAACAAGGTCTAAACTTGCTTGGTAAACCAACTTCTATAATTTTGATGGTTGTGTTTTGGCATTCTTGTTCCTGTCTGGTCAAAAAAACGAGCAAGAAAACAGTGAAACAGGAACGCTGCAGACCATGGTTACTGACCATGGTTTTTGATGATTATTTACATAACCAGAACTCGGCATGTCCTTTCACTGTTGACCCATAGACATTGCCACTATTGCATGGCAACGCGATAGTTTTTTATAAATGAAAAAGAAAGAGTACAATGAGTTTGAAAGATATAAATTTTCAGGCTATGTAAAGTTTCCACTCCGTTTAAAACTTGTTTGAGGGACAAGGAAAGCAAACGAACACCTGAAAATCTCCGGAAAGTTGGGAATCAAAGTTTTTTCTGCACTCCAGTTTCAAATTTTCCATCTTCGGCTTAATGTACGCCAAAAACTTAGATCACTCAGAAAGAGACGTGGATGCTTGAGAGACATTAGAATGCTTGCTTGCTAAAATGCTGCTTGCATATCACATAAATGAGTCATTTTATCTCATTCAGTTAAGGCTGCAGCGCCGCGGGAAATATGTACCCAAAACACCTTGGCTGGTATAACCTGTAAAGCAAGCTAATCATGCAAATCAGAAAACTGAGAACGCTTAAAAGTAAGTTTTGCTTTCCACCGAGAGGGACATGCCTCAATGAAGACCCAGGCGGATAACGCACATAAAATGGATGCTGATTAGAGTTGTTTGGGTGAGCAATCATGCACATAAACAAGCAAGAGTATACGAAAGAGATCTACCGAAATCGAATTTCTTCCAAATCGAAGGGATATTCTATAATTCCAGTTGTCGGTACTCTCACCCTTAGAATGTCTTGTTCTGTGGGCAAATAGTTTGGCGCTGCGACCCGATCTATTTCCATTAAATAACTAAAGAAAACAATACAGACATGTTAGTTTTTAGCTCCTAAATAATAATTTACACCGACCAAAAGAAACAGAAAGTTCAGATTCTTCAGGTGCAACACGAAGGTCCTGCAGAGGCTTTGAATAGGTTGAGCTGATGGCTGCATTTGACGCAGAAGTGTTAACAAATTTAAATTGTTCAGCATTAAAAAATGCCTATTGATGGGCAAAGTCACACTAAAACAAATATCTGAAATAAGCAATACCTTTAAAATAAAGGACACCAATTTTAACCAATGATCGTTCTTTAATTCTAAAAGGTATTTAACTTCCGCTTCGCAGCTTTGACACAATTTTGTTTTAATACCAAGTTGAAATTATTAAAAAAAGAGCCATTAAACCAAGTGTCCAATTCTTTCGCTGGTGGTCCCGTCAGACATGACAGAACTGCAATTGGAGTCGGTTATATAACCGACACTGAATTGTGGAATAAAACATGATAGATCAGATGAAACTTGACAATTAGTGAATTATGAGATAGAATTGCCAACTCCCTGAGGGGTAGTAGGAGGACTGGGTACTGTGATGGTTAGGCGTTGCAGAGCGCCAGAGAGCGCTGTGAAAGCGACTCTTAGACATTCGTGGCTCCTCTGACTAGAGAGTGTACCTCTTTTACCACATGAGCTTTGGAAGCATTAATTTTCACGAGAAAAGGGCAAATTGAGATACACGCCTGAGGAGTGATGATTTGAATTCATTTTGTAAGTTAAACTATAGTTTCTGGATTTCTGGCTTCCGATTCCCTTCAGAATAGTGAGAAACCTACACTATTCTGCCATGCTGTTACTTATCGTATTCAGGTTAGATTTTTAAGAGGTTTTTTACCACTTCTTCTGAGGTGTTGCATTGAAACTGTGCTTTCTGGCAGATAAAAATAGTTGCAAAGAACTAATCCAATGATACTATCTTCTTGGTTCCATCGTAAAACTTATTACATTTGAACCTCTAAATACCCATTAATTTTTGTATTTCTGTAGGTTTGTAGAGTTAAACAGCACCATCTTAACGTCTTCGGATTTACAAAAAAAGAGACAGTACTTACTATTTAGCTGAATCTGTTAATTGGTATTCTCTTCTTCTATCGTAACATTCTTGTATTCCGGCATCAGCCCATAATTCTTTAATAGCTTCGACATAAGGACTTTCAAAGGTTGTTACTGTTTCAAAATCTACACTCCGAATTAATTCAGCTTTTTCCTGAAAGCAAAACCAAAGGAAAAATATTAAGACTCAAATAATACCAGGGTTCCCTCGAGTAGTTCATTTTCAAATTTCCTAACATTTCTACACTTCCTGTTTTAAAATCTTCTAATTCTTTGACTTCCCTTGATCTGTTTCTGTACTTTTCCCGACCTTTGAACAAAACTTCTGTGTAGTTTTTTAACTGTGCTGACTATTCTGCCGTGCTAAGGAAAAACGTCGTATGAATCGAGAGTTGCCAAATTTCTCCCAATAAAATGTTCATTATTTAAGAGAGTTGTGAATATTTTCTTTAGAAATTTTCAGTTGAAATGGATCTACTGACAAAGACAATTCTCTGAAAAATTGAGCAGAAAATATTCCCAAGTAAGTTTTCCTGAAAATTCGTATTTGATCAAAGGAAATTTGGCAACTAATGAAGGTTCATTTGGCGTTTTTCCTTAGCATAGCAGTTTAGCATAGAGGTAAAAGCAGTGCACATGTTGGAAATTTACGATTGGTTAAATTAGAAAATTCTCGTTCATCATTTGCTTTCAAAACGCAACTTCGTGTTTTACTAAATTCATAAAAATTTTAAAAAACCGAAATTAGGAGCTTTTGTTGACTTTTCGAGGGGTTTTAGTTGATAAAATCAAGCACTATCAAGAAATTTCAAGACCATCCGGTATAATTTTCAAGGACTAGGAAGAAATATATTGATATATCGAAACAGCTAAAAATTAGGAATTCCTTTTTACTATCATTTAAGTATCCAAGTTCTACATAAAAAGTTACTTTCATCGTCTATGACGTAGTTTGAGACTTCGGAGGTCTCCATCCCAAGAAAGATGAAAACACGGATCTGCCACCTGATCATCGATAAGACACTGTTCATAAAATAATTACCGCTTTCCAAAGAGCGCATTACAAGGTTTCGTTTTTACATGTTAAAGGATACAGGCAGACTTCAAAAGAGTATTACTCACAAGGGGAAGGGAGGGCTCGAAAAATCCAAAATTCAACGTTACATATTTTAAGAGCAACCCCTAAAGTCATCCAACAACAAAAAATTGAAAGGTAACTAGAAGCATCATGAGCCCTTCAGCAGTTTCCCTCGCGGTTGAGCGCTAGAGGACAGTGGCAGATCCAGAGTGAGTTGGAGGAGGGGGGGGATTTGCTGATGTCAAGTGGAGGGGGGGGGTCGGGGGAAACCCCCCAGAGCGAGAGGGGTGGGGGGTCTCCCCCCCGAAAATGATTTAAAAAGATAGCCCCTCCTAGATTGAATTGTAAGCAGTTATAGCATACAATTTGTGCATTGTTTGAAAGTTGAAAATTGACAAATACCTAATGCCTCCTTTAGAGAAATTTTATTTTGGTATATGGCTTATTTATTTCTGCGGTATTGAGTAGTTTTCCGTTTAGTAAACTTGGTTATACAGTTCTGAATATTTTTAGGTAAATTTTTAGGAACAATTTTTTTTCTCCCCCTCTTTGTCCTTTTTTCTTTCTTTTCCCATATATTTTTTTGGCCCGAGGGGGAGGGGGGGGGCGGCCCCTCCTCTCCCCCGGATCCGCCACTGCTAGAGGAAAGCATTGAGGTGATGAGAGGAAATACTTACACTACACGAAGAATCAGCATATTGAATTTTGAGCACATCCATGGCGCGGATCATACTCTGCATCGCCATGAAAATATTTTGGTAAACAAGTTTAATAAATCCACGTTTGTCTTCGTCTGAGTAACCAGAACCGTGGATAATTCTCATCTGTTTGATAAACGTTGACTTGCCGGACTCTCCAGTACCTGTCAACACAAGAATTCAGAATTGATCAAAGCTGAAAATTTTTACCGACGACTATAGTTAATATCAATGGTATATACGAGTATATCATCGGAAATCGTCTTCGGTAGAGCCCCTGTACCATATCCGAGAACATCATACCACAAAACAAGATCAATTGGATTACATTTTTCAATAAAGAACCTATTAAGGAATCGATTTCTGTCCCATTTTAGGAACAACCTACATACCATTGTTTTCCCTAAGCAGATTTGTGCTTTTATGGGAGAGCCAGAGATAGTGGTTCCTTCATGCAAAATGTAATCCAATTAAGGTTCAAATTTCTCGTCTCAGGATTGGTCATACTTTTTCAGTCACAATCACATCATCTACAAAAAAAGATAAACCCACCTGCAACTTTTGCAAATTATCACCCCTCACCGTCAAACACGTGATTATGCACTGGATTACATGTTGCAAAAAGGAACCAAGAGCAATCCAATGTTGCTAAGATTGTGCTACTTACGTTATTCGCGACAAAATTACTGAAATCACGCGAAAAATTTAATTGACCAAGGTAATTTTCTTCTTGAAATTATAGTTTATCGGGAGTAAACCAAAACTTGTTTAGATGATCAGTTGGATTGCATTTTGCAAAAAGGAACCACTAGCATTGCAATGTTGCTAAGATTGTGCAACTTCTTTTGTCTTGGAGGAAAACCCCGATTATCATCCATTCATAGTTTCTATTTTACTCGCTAAAAACTGTAAATTTAAGACAAAAATTGCCATCTAAATTTCATAGTTTTTCACGATTTCCGCAATTTTATTGCAAAAGATGAAGTTGCACAATCTTAGCATAATTGCAATGCTAGTGGTTCCTTTTTGCAAAATGCAATCCAGTTTACATTTGCAAGGGGAAAAAGTCGCACAATCATAGCGACATCATGCAACCCACGAGGGGAGGGACCCTATGGCCAGTCTACCATTTTCCCAGCAAGTTAAGTAAGCAACACTACTTCTCCTTCATTTAAACTCATTATAAATAATCGATTATGAACGAGGGAGCCTACTCCGGTGGATTATATCGATTGTTTACCATTCGTTTAAATGGGCCAAGTCCACTGTTGCCGAGTTGCCGGTTTCTCCGATGGGAGAATCGAGCGAATCGGTCGGCTTACCTTGGAAAAACCGAGCTATACCAGTTCGGGTGCGTAGAGACGAAAAAAGGACGACGGGGGGAGAGAGGGGGGCCGAAAGCGGGGGAGGGAGAGTAGATGACGGGGGAGGGCGAGAGGGCGAGAGACCGTACAAGTTCGGGCGGGAGATGGAGATCCAGGGCAATCCAATTAAAAGGTATAACACATACATGGAATATCATCAACCGAATAAGCGGGTACGGTTTCCCGTCGATCGATCAGATTCGGCGATTAATCGATCATCGATCGGAGCATCGTGATCGTGGAGTTCCTTCAAGTGCACAGAATTCGCGCTTCGGATGCAATTAATAGGTACTTCTCCGCGGATACTCTCTGGAAGCGCAACTTCACGAAAGCGCAAAAACGGCGTGCAATGGACCACTAGACAAGGTACGAATTTCAGCATTCTTGTACATGTTTCTTAATCAAAATTTCACATAAAACACGATGAGCACAACAAAAATTACCGAAATCAACTCCTTACAAAGATACTTAATGATTCCTGATGCGTGAATTCAAACCGCCCGCTCATCAAAACTCAATGCTCTACGTGATTCACATCGCGCGCTAAACGATATCATGACAGTCTCTGCGCGATGTAAAAATCTGGCAACCTCAATCTTGACGCTTTGGCTCAGCTATAGCAAATTGCTTATAGTTTGAATGACACATGGTTGGAAATGAACATTGCTCGATTGAGAAGCTTGGTGAAACCGTTGTAGTGCGCGATTTGACTCACGTAGAGCTTTGAGTTTCTTGTGAGCGGGCATTTGAAATTCCTCGTAACGAATGTGAAATAAAAACGTTATTATCTTCGTTAGGAGTTGGTTTTAGTAATTTTCGTTGTGTGAATCGTGTTTTACGTGAAATTCTGGTTAAGAAACTTTTATCAGATTGCTTAAATTTGTACCTTGTCTAGTGGTCCATTAGCGCAAAAATGCACGAACCAAAAAAGCAAGTTTTAAACGCAAGTAGTCGTCCAAAAGCGCCAACGTTGAAACCAACCTAACCTGACCTCGCGTTAGGTTAGGTTAAGCCAGATATTGTCCACTTGATTCCTCCTTCATCAGGGTGTCTAGCAATTTTCCAAAACAAAAAAAAAGAAAGAAAAAATATCCCCGGCATCTCCCTGATTTCCCTGACAAAAACGACTAAAAAACCGGAGAAAAATTTCCTGGCATTTCCTTGACAAAAAGGAAAACATTCCTAATTTTTTGACGCGTTTCAACTGATTAAATGTAAGTGAGGATTTTTTTCATGTTTTAGGAATACAATGTGATAAATAGAGCAAACTATTAGACGCCTAAACTTAAGTGGGATAGTTTTTCCTCATTTTAAAAATTTAAAAGACATCAGCAGGAATTCGTGTAGAAATTATGGTAGAAATATCCGCAAGAGTAAAATTCGCAAAACATTTTCCGGGAAATCCGTGTTTTTCGATTTCCTTGACGTTTCCCTGACACGAAAATCGCTTGCAAAATAAAATTCCTTGGCATGCTGAATTTTTGCAGATTCCCTGACGTTTTCCCGGATTTCCCTAACACCCAAAAAAAATCCCCAGACATCCCCCAGTTTTCCCGGTCGCTAGACACCCTGCCTATTTTTGTACCTCTCTGTCGCCCCAACATCATACTAATTTTTGTACCTCTCTGTCGCCCCAACATCATACTACCATTTGCGCGAGCGAGCCACCATCCAAAAGAAGATTTGCGCTTTTGGATTATGCTCTTTAGTAAATTTGGGCCTTTGTATGTCTTCGCTTCTCAACTAGAGACGTCAAAGAGGCTCATCGATGTAGACCAGTGAACTGATTAAGTATTCTGCCTTCCCCCCAAAATTTCAGGAGCCACCTGGGTGGGGAAGGCCAGTTTTTAGGAGGTATCTAAAAGGATGTGTCCCATTAAGGAGGGTATTTTGGCCCTAACTTTGGTCGAAATTTGAAACAGCTTATAATAAATGTCATGTATAGTCGAATCGACTCTTAATCATCCTCCCTGTGAGAACTTGTCCCTGTTTGAGGTGTTTTTGGCAGGTTTTTGCCTGATTTACTAGCGCAAAGTGGTGCAGTTTTGCAGTTTTCTCGAATAATTGCTCTTTTTCGGTCCTGAATTATAGATTGTTTGTGTATGAGCACAAGCGACTACTACTTTCTCCTTTAAGAGTCGATTTGACCATACATGACATTATTCTAGGCTGTTTCAATTTCCGACCAATGTTAGGGCCGAAATACCCTCAATAATGGGACACATCCTTTATATAGGAGCAATATTAACTCTCTGCATGTGCATCGTGGCGCATAAAATTTCGAGTTCGGAAAATCGACAGGGTGCGTCAACTTCTTCAGGCGCCACGATTTTCCCTGAATTTTCAGAATTCCCTAACATTTCCCTGACTGCGGCAACCCTGGTCAGGGTTTGCACAGAATTTATGAAATGAAATTCCTTAACATTTCCCTGACACATTTTGGTGAGATTCCCTGACAATTGAAAATAAGACAGGTGGTTGAAAGGACACGATAGAAAATAGTTTTCAGGCAAAAGTTGTTCGAAACCTCAAACCCATTCTAGAAATCAAACTAAGGTGATTTAACACATTTGCCCTGACATTTCCCGGTTTTCTACGACTTTTCAATATTCTCTGACATTTCCTGGTATTTCCTGACAATGGTAACCCATGTATGGTCCGTCTTCCGTACTTAGAATTTCGGATTTTGCTGGAATATTGACGCCATGTTGTGCCCACCACCTACGTCACAGGGTAAACAAATCGAAAAATTGCGACCACCTCCTTCTCTCTCAGTATGCATCGGAACCACCGGCTTCCACCGATAGCGATAGGATTGCTCCATTTTCTCACCGTCGGAGTTACCACAGAATTTGGAAAATTAAATTCCCTGACATTTTGGCGAAATTCCCTGACACTTGAACGAATGCCGGCTTATATTAAAGACATAGTTGGAAATAGTTTTCAGGCAAAAATTGTTGTTCGAAACGTCAAACCCACTCGAGAAACTAAATGAAAGTGATTTGACGATTTTACCCTGGCTTTATGTCATTTTCCCTGAATTTTAAAATTCCCTGACACATTTTTGCGAAGTGCCCTGATAATTCAACAAATGCCGGATTAAAATAAAGACATAGTTGGAAATAGTTTTCAGGTAAAGTTTGTTGTTCGAAACGTCAAACCCATTCGAGAAACTAAATGAAAGTGATTTGACGTTTTTACCCTGGCTTTTATGTCATTTTCCCTGGATTTTAAAATTCCCTGACACATTTTTGCGAAATGCCCTGATAATTCAACAAATGCCGGCTTAAAATAAAGACATAGTTGGAAATAGTTTTCAGGCAAAATTTGTTGTTCGAAACGTCAAACCCACTCGAGAAACTAAATGAAAGTGATTTGACGATTTTACTCTGGCTTTATGTCATTTTCCCTGGATTTTAAAATTCCCTGACACATTTTCGCGAAATGCTCTAAAAATTCAACAAATGCCGGATTGTTAAATACATAGTTAGAAATAGTTTTCAGGCAAAATTTGTTGTTTGAAACGTCAAACCCACTCGAGGAACTAAATGAAAGTGATTTGACGATTTTACCCTCTGGCCATAATGTCATTTTCCCGGAATTTTAAAACTCCCTGACACATTTTTGCGGAATGCCCTGAAAATTCAACGAATACCGGATTGTTAAAGAAAGACATAGTTATTTAGAAATAGTTTTCAGGCAAAAAAATTTGTTGTTCGGAACGTCAAACCTCAAACCCATTCGAGAAACTGAGCGAAAGTGATTCGACGATTTTACCCTGGCATCTTCGTCATTTTCCC